AGATTACCAAGGTCCTAAAATTTGGAACTCTCTCCCTATTTCAGTCACTCGTTCGTCAAACTTTCTCAGCTTTAAAACGAAATTGCGAGAGTTTTTACTTAAATAATCACTGAATTGGCCAAGCCGCACATTCGCAGCACTTTTTCTTTACTTAATTTATTATTGTAAGGTGGCTCTCCCATAAGCCTGGTGGCTTCTTGGGTCTCCTCGCCTTCTAACTGTTATCGCTGTAATTAACTATTTTTTAATTGTTAAAATAAGGCAAAATAAAGATGATAATGAAAAGGAACTTGTATGCCTGCTCTGAAGAAACTAAACGTGCTGCTTATGTATCACTTGTCAGGCCACATTTAGAGTATGCGTCTGAAGTATGGGATCCTTATAGACAGAATCAAGTGGAGAAACTAGAAGCTATCCAAAATCGCGCAGCGAGATTTATTAAACATGATTATAGCTTTAATACCAGCGTGTCCAGTTTGAAGAAATCCCTATCTTTGGATTTACTAAGCGAGAGGAGAAAATCTCATCGTCTACAAATTTTCCATAAATCTGTGAACAATAGTATTGCTTTGCCTATCCCATCTTATTATCAATTGTCTATTAGGAAAACTAGAAATTACTCTAAAAATTTACCTTTTTGCCAGGTTCCTGTTTAGCACTTTGTCTGGCATTTGATTGCCCTGGTAATTTGAAGCTCTGTGAGAGAGATGGAGAATTTGCTGTAAAATGGGAGCTGCTCTCAATCCTTTCCTCCTGTCTTGAAGTAGAAGGACTCGGCTGATCTTCCTTTGTTACATGCCCAGCTGGTTGTTTCGCAGGTGTTAACTTTGGTTTTGATGACAAGCCCACTCCTGGAACCTGAGAGGAAACAGAGCAGATTGTCTCTGTCTAAACCTTAAAAAAATATTTTAGTGTGACTTTGTTTATCAAAAGAATCTGCATTGTACAGCACAGCACAGCACAGCACAGCACAGCACAGCACAGTACAGCACAGCACAGTACAGCACACTGAGTATGGGAAATTTAACAAAGCCCAAACTTTTGATGGATTGATACAGATTTAATTGTCAGAGAAACCTCTGAAAAACCGTGGCCAACAGACAACCAACAGCTTTTTGGGTAGCTTTTCTTGAAACAATTTTCCACGATCTTGTCACATACAGTGTAAGAATCCAACACATTTGCTGTAAATGGATGGATCAGTTTGTAGACAGCTCAGTTAGTAGCCAGTCCAACTGAAAACCTGGAACTGGCCGAAGTTGGAATTCTAACAAAGAAAAAAGAATCTTTTCCAAACAAAACCTCAAAATTTACCTTTTTGGCAGGTTCCTGTTTGGCACTTTCTCTGACATTTGATTGCCCTGGAAATTTGAAGCTCTGTGAAGCAGAAGGAGAGCCAAGTTCTGGAACCTGAGAGGGAACAGAGCAGATTGTCTTTGATCTAAACCTTTAAAAGATATTGTACAGTACAGCACAGTATCAAAAGTTTAATGGGTCCCAATCTTCTGATAGATTGACACAACTTACAATTTTTTTTGTTTTGTTGTTTCCTAAAACATTGTATAAACAAATGCACAGTTACCACATAGCAAATTATGATTACTTTTAAATCCCCACAGCAAGGGAATCTCTCAGAATTACCATTCATTTTGTCATTAACTTGACAACAAATTTGGTGACCCTCAACTTCAACCAACTTGCAAAAACATTATCAAGATGCTGCCTAAAAGCATTTAAACATTTTGGTGGCTCTGAGATTCAAAAAGGAATTTTCTAACAGCCTTGCAGGCATGTTGAACTGAAATTGAGGGCGCTTTGAATGACATGTAGTGCCTCCACGCAACTTCTTATGTCTGGGAATGACTGAGAATTTATCAGATTTTGCTGTCAGAGCAACCTCTGAAAAACTGTGGTTGCATTGATGAATCAAGCAAGACAAGGAAAAAATAAAGGACCTCATTTCTCAACAATTAAGTGTATGGTTTTCAGTCAATAATAACTACAATTATTAACACATGGCACAAAAGGGTCTCGTAAACAGCAGTAGACTACCAGTTACTGAGTTTTATTGACCCCATCTTTTACAGTACAGATAAATTGTGTAGTACCTCAGTATGAGAGGGCAGCTTTGCAGATACTGCAGTAGTAGTTGGCGATGGTTGAAAAGATGGCTTTAGTAAACTACCTGGCTGCATCTGAGTGGTAGGTGTAGGTTTCACAAGAGGAGGCTTATTTCCTGAGGGCTTCCCTGATTCTGTGGCTTGAACCTGTGACTGAGAAGCAGGTTTAAATGCAATTGGTCCTGCCTGCTTATCACTGGTTAATGAAAAAGCCCTTGAAAATAAAAAAGCACTGGCTGCGGGGTTCCCAGACATGCCCGAGGAAGGAACTCCAGATGCCAAAGGAGCAGTTTGCATTGGGCCTGGAAATGACAAGTTACTAGTTGGAAGATTTCCCGGTGTGCCTGGTGAGGGAGTTCCTAACAAAAAGGTACTGGTTGTAGGGTACCCTGATTTTACTGATGTAGGAGTTCCAAGTGTAAAAGAACTGCTTTGCTTGGATCCTGCAAATGAAAAGGTAACAGCTGCAGAATTTGAGGACTTCCCTGAAGCTTCAGTCACTGAGGGCAAGGAAGTTGATTGTTTGGTACTAGAAAATGAAAAGGAACCAGGAGAGGATATTGCTGATGACGGTCCAGTTGAGAAAAAGCCAGATGTTGAAGTCTGTGAGAAAACACCACTGGGAAGGTCTCCAGAAGTACCAGAAGTTGATGAAACACTCCCTTTAAGAACAGAACCTGGTAATGAGGAAAGAATAACATTCACTGAGTGGTAAATAACGAACGCCCTTGATATGAAAGACCCTTAAAGTTGGACCCTACAGAATAAGAAATTGGAAATGAAGTTCTCTTCTTCTGTGTAATATTTAGTAAGTTATGGAGTTGAAAGCATACTGAAATAACAGAAAAGCAATTTTGGATACTTTAAATTATGCACATCTACTTATTTAATGAATTCCAAAGTATGACTCTGCACCTGCATTTGAGGCTATTGTTTTTCTTTGTCCTCCAAGTGGTAAAGGTTCTGGTAATTTAATTATGCCATGATCTGTATTTGGGGTTTGATTAACAACATAATATGGGCACAGGACACCATCTGTTGAAAGAAGCATCATCATTGGGGCAGGGGGAAGCTGTTTTTCTCCTTCTAAAATGGGCTTTTTGGATCTAAAGTCCAATGCTAATCCCATAGGAAACGTCTCATCATTGTTGTTAGTCAAAGGCATTTCTGCACGCCCAGTTTCCTCTACATTCCACTTTTCCCAGGGAGTCGAAGCCTGTTCCAATACAACGAAATGACTATCAAGACCATTTGTACAAAATAAAGAAATGGAAATTATATAAAAATCAGTTCACTTTTATTTGACCAATTATTGATAGTGTTTGATTACTTTTGGATGCCGTCATGATAGGATGGTAAGAACTTAAGTCAAAACTTTCCCATCAATTCATTTTGATTAGGTCATATAAAACCACTGTACATGTAAAAGTCCATAATGCAACACAAAAGTTGGATTCTAGGAAATTCCAAAAATTTAAACATACCTCTCCTCCATATTTCCCAAGTACAGCAGCTTCAAATCCATTGGAACATGCTGAAATCAACATATTCCTATAACAAAAAGTATCAACAGAGTAAGAGTTTATTGGGCTGTGACTTGGTTTCTATGGTGACCTCCTTGCTACCCTTCTCTTTCACAACCTATAATTTATGGCAACTACATGTACCCTCCTATATCATTAACAAAGTGTTTTACAGTATGCACGACTAAATGTTATTATTAAAAACTGGATCATTGGATAATGCAATTCAAGACTTTTTATTGGCTTAGCCATTATGGTATATGAGCCAATAAACCATAATCTAATATCTGTACATTGTAACATCCGGTTTCTTCTTATAAAATAAAGTCGAGAAGATTTGTCTAATATCTTAGGAGCATTTTTTTTWAAAATAAAACAATTATTCCACTCGCACTTGTTGGATATGAGATGACTATAGCCAACTCAGCGCTACACGCCTTGTTGGCTATCTATCACCTCATATCCAATGCGCACTTGTGGAGTAATTGTGTCTTTTTACAATTTATGTTGCTACACTGTACCCTTATGTACGGCACCTGCTTTCCATTGCTATAAAGCAAGTGTTTTAATAGTAATTCTTCAAGATTTTGGTTTCAACTGTCCAGTATTTTAACAAAAGCAACAAATATTACAAATACTGATGTAACTAATAAGCACAGTTTATTTTGTATGAGCCATGAATCAGTCAGAATTACATAAAAATTCTCATTATTAACTGTTCTTACCACTCGCTGATCAGTTTGAGGTAAAACATGGGTTGCCGTTCGTCACTCATCACATAATAGATGTCATCAAAGTTAATTACTTGCTTTGGTTCATTTTTCTAAAAGCAAGACAAAAAATAATGCTCAACTTTGATCACTGTTCAACAAACACTGAAAATAGTTCTTGCTTGAGCCATCTGTTCACCGTGTAGCATACAGCTGTAAAAAGGTTGCTAAGTACATTTTAATTTTACTCTTAAATAACCATGTTTTGTGCTTCAGTGGAATGCTTTTTTTGGTAGTTCAAGATTTCTAAACAGAAGTAGTTTTGTAAATTCTTTTCAAGCCACAGAACAAAAATATGGAAAGAAAGCACAGATTTCATATTATCTAGCTTATCAAGCTATAAAGAAGGGAGCTACATGTAACTAAATTTGTAGTCTGATGGAAAAATGTAAAGTGTATGAATTGACATTATAGAGTTGCATGCAGTTCGTTTCATTTGGTTTAAATTAGTGAGAGATTTTTATTTCTGTATATCAATTATGTTGGATGTTGGATCCAGTGCTCTACAAAAAAATTTGCAAAAAATTAAGACTCCTCAAACATTTCAAGGACAAGGTTGCAATTTTTTCTTGGTGTATAAAAATTTTCAACTGCACAAAACATGCGCTTTGATTAGTATTCTTTGTTTCATGTTATGATAACAGATACAAGACAGCAGAAAATAAGTATCGAGCTTACTGTATCTGTAATGATTGATTTGGTAAAGTTAAAACAAGACAAATTGTGATTAAAAAATATATATATATAAACTTACAGGAGTGGAAATCAGCTGAAACTTTGGGGCATCCCCTTCCTCAAAGCTGGAGTAAACAACAGCAAACAATGTTGCAGTAATCCACAGCACATCTGTCACTAAATGTTATAGGAATAAATGAGCCATCACAGTTAAATAATGAAAGAATGAATGAAGGAAATGCTAAGTTAATCAGTCAGTCAATTACAGGTAAGATATACAGTGCATACAAATCTAAATTACACTTGACAAACTTTCATAAGACTGGTTGGTTGGTTTCTACCACATTCGTAGTCTAAAGTAAACCAAAGTGGAATGAAATACTGGATTCAACGAACAGCTCATGGAGATTCTTTGGGCAGTAAACGAAAGAGGGTACATGTAGGAAACTAAGGTTAATTTTGTGTCACTAATACATGTATAATAATGGCACTTTGTTCTACTGCTTCTTTTCTTCTTTGTGTTGCACTGCCATTGTCTATAGTTTACAGTACCTGAGTGAGGATCATCTAGAAATATTTCAGGACATTCTATTTCCTTTTTCACTTCCAGAGCCTAAATGAAAGAATTTCATACAAGTAGGAATGGATTATAGGAGGAAAATGGAACAAAAAGAACAAAAGATTGTAGATTTTATTCACAAGTGTTACTTTCAACTGCATAGACTAAGCAAACCAAGGTCTACATTACTGTACCTGTGAATATTGAGTTAAACTACCATCTCTGTGTCCAACAACAAGCTGCTTTCCTTTAGGACTCCAACAAACTAGTGAAAAAATTGCTCAAATCATGAATAGTCCTTGATTAGCAGGGTGGTGGAATTGAAATGCTTTCAAGAATCTCTCGTAGAAAAATCTGTAATTAGAGAATAAAACTCATCTTCTGGAATAGTAACAACATTTTATAGGGTGGAATAAAAATATTGTCTACCAATAATGATCTGTCCCAAAAATTCCAAATAAATGAATAATTATATTCATGGATCATTTGCCATGTCCAATGCAAAAATTAAAGCCATTCAACATTGTTGGGACAGGAAAGGTTTGATTGAAAGTATTTTTACTCATCTCTTGACCTTTTCTCTGGTGGAGGATTTGTTGTGTTGAGCAGAAAAATTCTTTTACTGGTCGCCACTGCTCGCAAAGTTGAGAATTTCAATGAAGATGAAGTTGGAAATCATTGTGGACATTGTTTAAAAAGGTCAAATACATTTTATCTATAGTACACACCAAGAAAATCTGGGGTAGTAACTGAGGGTCTGTTCTTTTTGTTAACCTTTTGAAAGCAGTTGGGCAAAGTTGTCTTCACAAGCAGTCAATTTACATGGTGCCCTGCCCTTAATGAAACCCCTGTCAAAGTCTTAGAAGCAACAAAATAAGCCTCTAAGTCAACAAAATTCCAATTCTGTTTTCAAGGCTATTCAAATTGTGGCTATAAAGTGAAATCAAACTTTACAACTTCAAGTGAGGCCTAGTGACAATTTGACATTTCCATGGCCTGGTGTAAACAATGATTTTGTCTGTAAAGTGTTATTTAATCAAAGATTTTATGTCAAAACATACAACTTTAAGAATTTTCAACCTAACACTTCACAATTTTCTGGCCGTGAAATCAGTAAACAATGACCTGCGCATCGAGAATAGTCTTAGTCTACCATACAAAGTCATGTAATTCACACGTGAGAAAAAAGAACAACAGTACATTTCAGGAACTAAATCACACCTACTTGCATTGGCATTTACACTTTCTGGAAGAGAAGCCAGTATTTTGATTTCAGTCTCAGTCAACTCCATTATAAACACAGATCCAGAGCTAAAACAAATGGCTAAGATTCCAGGAAAACCAGGGTTCCATAGAAGGTTTTCAACACTCCCTTCTGCTGGAGAAATAATTATTACAACATCATTAACTACTTTATTTCACAAACAACAGCTGAGCATACAATTATTAAAGAAAACAAGGAGAAGTTGAGTGAATATGTATGAAGCACATGATTATTTCTCAAGATTAAGAAAGATATAAGTTTAATTCCCAAGGTTTGTCTCGCAGATAGAGATATCTTCTGGCTGCTTCACTTTTGAACTCAATCGGATCCATTGTTTGATTCATTGCAATGGTGGTTTTCAGTATGTTCCACTTGCCATTCTAAACAAATGTATGTATGTATGTATGTAATCATCTACTATTAAGAATCACATCACTGAATAAATTCTCGCCTTCTGATTGGTTAACAGAGCTAGGTATTAATATTTTAGCAAGGCTGTGCTCTAAGAAAATTTTCAGGGAGCCCTTTGGGCTCCCAACCATTCCAGCTAGGGTGCCCAGCCCTCCAAGTTGGTCACCCAAAAATTAATTAATTAATTAATTGATTAACCAAGCAATTAATATTAATTTATTTCATGTTTTAATCAGTTAATACTTAATTAAACCATAAACTTCAATTATAATTCAAGCTGTTTAGAAAGCATTTAACTTTTGGTGTTGCTGTTTACCATAATATATAATACACTGTCAGATAACTGCTGGCTCCCTTTTGGCACAAACGAGTTTGACTCCCAGTTAATGGATTCATCTCTTAATATTTTTTCACAGCGTTAGCAGTCTTTAAGCTCACCATTCTACAGCTTGAGTCATCTGTGAAGCACGCTGATTTTAAGTAAAGCAATAGGCCAAATGACCAAAATAAAATACCTCCTGCATTAAGAGATTTTCCATAAAAATTTCCTTGTTGGTCCATTTTTTGTAAAAGAAGTGAGGGGCAAAATGAAAAAGCTGTACATATTGCTACTGACTAAATGTGGAGAGCTGAAATTTTCAGAAGTTGATGAAAAATTGACTGCCTTGGATATTTACCGGTACAATTAAAAATAGAGTTGCCAGTCTGGCCATGAGAAACATCGGGAAAGGTAATCTGCACTAAATCGTGACACTTTAAAAGTGAAATGTTTTCATTTTTTCCTAACACTTGCAGGAAAGCTGTGGGATTGTGGAATAGCTACATTTTAAATCTTTTTCTGAAAATTAAAATTTCCACACCACACGACAGAGTGTGTTGCTATTTTTTTGTGGTGAGTTTGTGTTATTTTTCAAAATGGCAATTGTGTTTCTTTGGATATTTTAAAACCACTTTGTACTTTCATTCGAAAGCACCATTGAAAGTAAACAAGTCTAAATATAAAATCATTATAAGCTCAGTTCTAGCTAAATCTTCCTAAAGTAATTGCAAGTTGCTTCTCACAGCAATCAATAGACACCTACAAACAAAACTGGCTTGCCAGAAATTTGCATAGAGAAAGAATCTTAGTTTGAAAGAAAGGTAAATGCCCTACACTTTCCAAATCCATCGAAACACTGAAACAAATCAGACATTGATCATCTCAAGGAAAATCGCAGTGTTCAACCCATATTTTTGCAATATCCGTGCGGCTTATACGTGTGAAGTGACAGGAACTATCGTTTCAATAATTGTTATTTGGGTTTGTGCGAAATCAAGTGGAACGAAACGTGACAGTTACTTTGAAATCTTCGAACGCGAATGTGTCGTGCAAAAGAATATTTTTTCAGTAAGTAACGCTTATAAATCAACCAAATAAATATTAATGTAGCAGTCAATAGCCAGATTTACTTTTAATTAGAGGCGAATGCTGCACAAGAGGCTGAGTGCCCGGCTGGGCGACTGGAGTCTTTTTTCAGTTGCCTGAGGTGACCGGGCACTTCTAGAGCACAGCCTTGTTTAGTATGGAATTGCAAGTTGAAAACAAGGCTAAGTAATACAGTACTGTTTCACATCTATGTTTACATAACAACTATAAGTAATGCTGTTTTCTTTTTTTTGTTTTTTTTTGTTTTCGTTCAATTATGACTTGTGATCCAAGGAAAATCCATTACTTGACTTGTGAATTCTGCATTAAATAATTGCACTTGAAAACCGATATTGCACTCATTGCTTCGTGATTCATGCAATATCGGTTTCCACATGCAATTTAATATGGAATTCCCTCATTAAGTAATGAATTTTCCAATACAACTGCATGATTCAGAATATCCCTTCTTAGTCTGGTGGGTGTTTGAATGTGTGAATAATGAGCATGAATTGTCTCTGAAAAGTTTCCTGCAAATAATCAGGAGGAACAAACTTACTCCTGAATTTTCAAGACTCACTTCCATTTCCGGTGAATTGATCTGCAAAATTTCAGATGAATCCAACCAAAAGCTACCTCATAAATTCGCCAAAATGTTGCAAAATTTTCATTTTGGACCAAAAATCATCGAAAAGCCAGGAATTTTGTCGAATTTTGTTAACAGACATTTGGATAACTTTTGCACAATAATATTTATAACTTCACTAAAAGTTCCCTGCAAATCACATACGCAAAACAAGCACATTTGATGACAAATTAAGTGACACTTGCCAGAGCTGTATGGCACTGTATCACCTGTGAGAATCTCTTCAGCAAACTTGGCATTTGATGTGTTCTGAAATGATATTAAATACTTTATCAAAGGGAGCTACAAAAATTAAGAAATGAAGAATGAATTCTTTTAAAATGGTAAATACATCAAATCAGACAGATGGAAAAACTGCATTAAAAAACACTATCAAATTCTACAAAAAACAAAAAACAAAAACAAAAAAAAAAATCAGTGCAACGTACAGAGCTTCCAAGGGTTGGAACATCATAAAGATTCATGACAGTTTGATTCTTCTTCACATAGCAGACAGACAAAGTCAAATCATCATTGCTGAGACCCATTAACTGTACAGGATGACCAATTTCTTCAAAGGTTGAAGGGCAATGGGCCACTGAAAGATAAAATCAAATTATAATGAGTGACTGATTACTTGCTTTCAGGTAATTCATACATGCCAGTGATTTTATACCAAATTACCAACTATAGTAGGTTTGGTAAAGACCTGTTTGTGCTTTGTGAAATTTTGTTTCTTTTGCAAAAAAATCTGTCTATGCAAAAACCATTTTCGGTGCGAATGATTTGTTTGACCCACCAAAATTTTTGCAAGCACAACCAAACTTCGAAAATACTATCAACTAGCTTTGGAGGCATTCAATTTTTGGTCAGGCAATAAAATATATTATTCCTAGTCATATACCCTTCAACTGGTCATCATATTCGTAACTGATACCAAGGAAAATGGTATTATGTACATGACCCCAATACCGCATTTAGAGATGGATCCACCAAGCCAAATTAAAGGTCAGACAGGGACAGTGGCCAGCACCATCTGTTCAAAATTCTTACTTTCCTGAACCTCAACAATATTACAATGTCAGTTATTATGGATCTGAATGTTACTACAAAGAGCCACAGCCACTGCCATAGCACTAAATTGGCACCTTCAACCACAAGTTGATTGACATTCGTGGTCACACAAATCATTTGCACATCTTAAGAGCAAATGCTATTACAGAGACAAAAAAAATAATTGTTTTCACAAAATTTTCAATTTTACAGCAAATACCAATTTAAACAGGCGTTTATTAATTTCCAGAGTGAAAAATTCAACAATTGTTTGTCACAAGGTCCTAAAATTAAGATTATTAATCGCAAAGGGCTTCTCTTGCAATTATAGTTGCAAAGAGTGTTCTAATTGCGATTAATAATCATGGAAAGTACCACTATTAATCGCGACTTAATCATTAATAGTTGTGTTTGACAAGCTTTTAGACTTAATAATTGTGCATCATACAGTTAACAATTGCATCTGATGGCAATTGTCCTTATTCATTGTCATTCATGGTACTCCTTTCCAAAGAAAGTTCAAGCAGAACTTTGTGGATGGCCACCATTACAACCAAAAATTCAGAATTTAGTATTTCTTCACACATAGCTTTTTAGGCAATAAATGTCACATATTTGAAGTCTTCTCAGGTTCAAGTTCTCAGTGAACTTCATTTCTGTTTAAAAAGTGTTTACCAATGATGTTTTTCTTTTCTTTCAATCTTCGATGAAGTTCAGCAAGGGCTTTCGGTATCACGAGAGAGTTGACTAATGTTTCTTCTCGATAACAATCTAGTAAGTAAATACATTAATTTTGGACAGGTTATAAGTTTACTCTCTTAACTAGAGCCCCTTCTTTGTGCTCTTGTAGAGTTCTTTTGTTTATCTCTCAGGAGTATGCTAACCGAATAAAAGACGTTTTGGGAAACACAAAAACCCATGCGAAACCATGTGTTTTGATCTACATAATGTGTATCAAAATAATATTATTGCACTGAGTCGACAGTCATGTACTGTTGTCAGATTTGTTTTTCAGTTTTATGTTTTAAATGAGAGTGTTGTTGAGACACAAAATAGCGTGACCGTGACAAGTTGTGTTACCCGAGTTAACGTTTGACATGCTATTTGAGATTTTGCATTTTTTAGCCTTTTTTGGAATCTAGCTGCTGTGTAATCGAGATTTTTTTGCATGTGTTGTTTATTATACCATCTTCATGAGGAGAAAAAATGCACAAATCTCAACTGTTTTAGTGATTCTGTTGTTTGTTTCATTATTTTGCGATTGTCACCACCAAATGATTATAACAAGTGTAACACGTTTTTTTTTGTTGTTGAAAGAAACGATGAAAGACCGTTCTTTTTTATCCCGTCTATCCGTTTTGGTGAAAAAAAAATGACTATTTTATCGTTAGATAAGTATCACAATGGCAAAAAAAACATCTCACAGAATCAGCGTGACATTGCCAAATCTTGACAGGAAAGGTTTCACTCCAAACAACGAAAAGAGTTTTAATTCCAGTGCACCTTTTTCCCTATTCCTCTTAAGGGACCCATTTCGAAAACAGAGTAGTTTAAGAAAGATCTGGAGTCTTGCAGCATGGACAAATAAAGCTCCGACTCAAATTATAATTATGTTAATTCTTTCCCCTTCCCTTGTGAAAAATGCAAACGCATCTCTTTAGGAATTACGTTTGTCCAAAAAAAGACGGGGAAGGGAAATCAGTGAAACATTGTTTATTTCAAGGATTGAGCCCAGCAATTTCCAATTCACTAAAGCCTGAACTAGAGCAGTGCGATGCAAGTTATCCACACCTAAAATAATTTTATATTCCATTTCTGGCATCCATCACCGCCACCGGTTTCATATGTTGCTTACTTGTAAACATACATTTCAGCTTTGCAAAAAGCTGTTATCAGGAGGCATTTGTAGTAATTTGACCTATTTGGCCATTTGTTCATAATTACTTGGGCTTCCAAAGGAAAGCCCGAGTCTTATAATGCAAGCCGTTCATGGTCACCAAAAGGGGGGTCATGGTCCCAGGCGTTCCTTGCATAAACCGCAGAAACTTGGGATGAGAGTGTGACAGCTTGTGTTATCATGTGCTTGCCTGTCGTAAACAATTAACACAATTTACAAAAATAACGCTGTGCTTCGCGAAGACCGCTTTGCAAAGATTTTCTGTCTTATACACTCATCTCACATACAAACGCACACACTGTTCAAGGTAGGCCCACCGTTTTCAGAATAGGCCGGTCAATGAGCTCTATAGCTTGAAAGCTAACCCTAATGTGCAAAGTTTATGCTAGTTCTCATGAGATAACAAATGAGCCACATGTGAGTTCAAACTACAAAAATACTGGCAAAACTGTGACAGCCGATTTAACAACCAACTATGATGCTGAGACGAACATCTCAATTGCTGAAAAAATCAAGGATGTTCATGAACAACTTCGAAGGTGGTGCTAACAACACTGAATTGGATAGGGATACTGACAGAAGCAACTTGAATATAATAAGGTTATATCTAAGCTTAGCTATTCCGTTAAATATCCTGTTTCTGTTATTGGTTTTCACTGGGTTCAATACTTGTAAAGTACAATTTGGTATTCCATACATAATAATTTTTGAGTTATTTTAAAAAAAAAAAAACAAACAAAAAAAACAAACTATATGGTAGCGTATAGATTGGTGTATTGTGGTGTAGTGTAATCTGATCAGTGCTGTTTGGTGTATCTCTAAGCAATCTGATTGGTGCATCTTTTTTTGGTGTATCTCAAGGTAATGTGATTGGCCCAATTTTTTGGTGTATCACAAACCAATAAGATAGTAGTATTTTTCGATGTCGCACCTATCAGAGCGTTCTTGCTAATTTGTGGTTAGACAGGTCTTCAAATTTCGGTGAATCAACGCACAAGTCGGAGAGAGCGGTTCACGAATTGATGAAATGTATCACTCGTGTTGGGAAAGCGGTGGAATTGTGATCGTTGTACGACTATGCTTATTCTTTGTTTTTTAAGGAGATAGAGTGGAACATGAGAAAAATTTTGAATGAAATATTACTTCAGATGTTGGTAGGAGCAACTTCAGGATATTTCATTGCTATATAAGAGTTAATCAGCGATTCCAATTTTGAATTTCGCTTAAGGAACGAGGTAAGATGACATCTACAAGAGTTGTAAGATCATCTATTAAATGTAATGGCTTGTGTCCTTCGTGAGGATTTTATCATGATCTGTCTGGATTTGAAAGGTCATCGGAGAACTTTTTCTACCGATTAGCAAGTTGAAACGTGCATTTTTTGTGTACCGCTCCTTCACTTACGACGCACACACCGTCAGCCAAAGGGCTAACACGAATTTAGTGCTATAGAGTGTTGTTTTGGAAGGGCTAGTTTTGCTGACTCTGGTAAAACTTGCACAAGGCATTTGTATAAATCATATTTGATTGATGATCTTTTTTTTTTTGCCTTATGGTTGCTGTTGTAGCTAAGGTTGAAACAACCACCAAGTTACATTATTTTACTTTCTGGGTCGACTGCTATGTTACATATCCGCTTCTTTGCTTCTCAAAGTTCTCCATGAATTAAATATTGTTTCAACAAAACTTTCCTGTTACAGTTGCATGTTTACTTTTTACTCGCCAGTATCGATTAGACTTTCTTAGATGAAATGCCATTTTCCAGTAAACAACATAAATTTTATGACCTAAATCTACCTCAGTGAAAAATATTTCACAAGGGACAGAATCGTATGGTCGGCTAATTTTTAAACCAAAATTAATAAATTAATAAACCAAATTTTTCAGTGTACTGCAAGCAGGGCCTAACTCCCTCTTTTATTATTAGCTTATAGCACTTTGTGTGTCGAGATTCCAATTTTAAAAACTCTCTTAAGCACAATTAAGTTCAGAGCTGGCCCACATTAACTTTGTAATTATATCAATAAACTCTATATGTACTAGCCTATAAGGCTATTTGCTTGAAAAAATGTTGAGTCAAGAACTGAACAAAATAATGTTGAAGCACTCATCAGTGAAAGAATTCAGCCGTTTTAAAAGTAAGCAGGGCTCCAAAAGTACAGCATAATAGCCCTTGCTAGTGTCATGATAAAGTCAGGTCTACAATGGCACATGTGTGGAGGGGGGAGATGGTATTCTGAGGGAAGCATCTGCTATTAGAATTCTACAAAAGTTAAAGAGATGAACCATTTTGCTGAGGAGTTACTTCTTTTAAAATTGACTGCAGTGACTTACCAACATTCTGCATGCTTCCTTCATCAGATTCGTTAATTCTTTCAATGGTTTCAGTTTTAATCACTTTTATTCCTGTTGAAATCATTCATAAACCATGTGATTATCTTAAATTTAAAAATAATAAAATAATGTACAGCACAATTATAGAAATTACTTGTACGTTCCATGAAAGAAATCAAAAATAAATTTGATGCAATTGTTGTGATTTGTGTTTGTCCTGGTCCACAAACAAAATGTAATATCCACATTTTGTTCCAAACCTGATAATTACATTACTCTTATAACCAAAAGCAAAGGGAAGAGAAAATTCAGTTGAAGGAAAAAATAAGAACTTGAAGATTTTCAGGCGACAAGTCAAAACTCTTCCATTCTCTTTGTTGATCTCAAGATACATGTACATTGAGTCTACAAATACAATTATTGCGATTGTTTTAATTCAATTATGCAGTTGATTTACATACAAGTACTGTTAACTCCTTAACTCCTTAACACCTACAAGTGACTATGACAGAATTTCTCTGGACAACATCTGTACAATATCAAGCAGGCAAATAAGAGAATAAAATGAAATATCAATTATGGGATTATTAGCTGATTCAATACCAAATTCTCTGAATTAACATCATAAAAACTGTATGGCACACAGTATGGAGAATTGCATCTATTAATTAGTTAATTTGGTTAGGCAGGGGACGTTAAAGAACTCACTCACGAGATTACTGTGGTGTGGTCTGGCCTGTTTACTGGGAATTGGGGGGGAGGGGGCATCTTCAAATAAGTTTCCTTCGATTGTTTGTAAACTGCTGATGCAGTCCAGTCAAAGTCCCCCGAAAAGTGTTGTGATGTGTATTTAATCATATCCACATATTAATTTGCACATTATAAATATTAAATTATTATTATTATTATTATTATTATTATTATCATTATTATTATTATTATTATTATTATTATTATTATTATTATTATTATTATTATTATTATTATTATTATTATTATTATTATTATTATTATCATTATTATTATTATTATTATTATTGAGATCTTGGCAGTGAAAGGGTAAGGTGCTCCATTTGATTCAAACTTAGTAAGTACATCTTCTCATCCCAAAAGCCAAAAGAAGAAGAAATTAAAAACAATGCCAAGAAAGAAACAACACATAATTTAAAGATCTTTGCTTTCCATTTCAAGTTGTATTATAGATTCAAATACCTGTAGGACAGCCAACAAATGTCAACCCATATTTGGTTGAAACAGCCACTAAGCTGGAGCGAGCAGTGGGCAAGGTTTTTGGTGACTCAAACATTCTTATTTTCCTCATCTGTTTGAAGCTAAAATCCTATTAAAAAAATTTTTTTAGATTCACATGTTAAACAAACTTGATAACTAGCATGTTTGGCAAAATTGTTCAAATACCATTCAAGTATCTCCTCAACAGTCATACCACCCTTTGGGTGAATTATTTTTTTTGGAGACTCTAATTACCAGTACCATCAATCTTTTCAACAGGTACACAGTTTCAGACCCATCCCAAAAACAGCTTGACACTGAATACTCAAGAAGAGAGAGTTCACTGGCCACAGCCAATTATAATACACTTATCAGCAGCCATCAGGGGGGTAATGCCAGGGAAATATGAGGGCATGGCACAGGATTTGTCAGCTTTGTTTGCTAATTTTAGGCCCAGAACGGGGGATTGGATTGCTTTTTGCACTATTGTAGCAGGATCCCCAGGGTAAGACCTATAGGATTTGTAGTTCCACCGCCATTTTGCAGATGGAGCTGGAAATGAGAACCATTTGCATCTGTCAAAGGACTGGGTATGTTGGTGAACATGTTCTGGCAAAACAGCAACAGAAAAGATGGTAAGTGACCTTCATATTTCTCTTGTTTTCTGTTCCTTTTAGCTGGCCATCCTTTGCTTACATAGCAACTATATTTTTCGGAAGAAAACCACCATTTCCTTCTATGCTAATATTTTGATCATAATGTGTTAAATACCTACAAATATTTATAAAGTAATTTTAACTTGAATTATTCATATTTTTTTACTTGAATGAGCATGAAGTTTGCCTATCATTAAATTATGTTTATTCTGTTCCGAGGTCCTTTTTCACTACCGGGAGCATAAAAAGTGATATGTGGTGAAGTGTTCAACATTAGAGGAATTGATCTGAGAAGCAAAGGCGTTATTCGATGTGGCAGAGGAATCAAAAGTGTTTTATATCTAGTGCTTTGACAAAATGTGGATGGATAATTATACTAAATAGAAAATCAATTATGGCAAACAAAATTATTTTGAAATATTGCACCATTTGACTTAGCAGAGCAAACTTTATCCCCAGGGGATAGGGCTTGTAGTAGGTTTTTGTTACACAATCTTGGTTTTGGGTAGGGGGGGATTTGTAAACGCCATTGTGCAAATGCCTGGGGTCACCCCCCCCAGGATGGCCGCTGGTAAGTGCATAAACTCTCCTCATGGTTCCATGATAATTTACAGCTTGAACAGAACATTATCTTAAAGCATGAAAAGATAAACTTGTACTTCACTAAAAGTGGGCGACAGCTAAATTAAGATTGGTGTTCTTATTACTACGACTACGCTTTGACATACATTAATTTTTTTAAAAATGAAAAGTCGGAAAGAGTTCCATATAACCCACATACATTAATTATGCATTCCATTTCATAAAGACTAAATATTTAATAATTATTGGACGAGGTTGAGCAAAATATCGTGATTTGTCCATGGCAAGCAGATCAATTATTTGCCGGAGCTGAAGGCTGAGGCAAATAATTGATCTGCAAGACCCTGATAAATCACAATATTTTGCCATAACCGAGTTCAATAATTGTTTTAATATTCAATCACCGAGTTTGTTTTCAATTTTTTGGGGGAAGCAGCAAGTGAGTTTGTTTTCAATTTTTTGGGGGAAGTGCAAAGCACGCACTGCTGCCGGAGATCAAATCGTTTCCTTCTCAGTTAAATAATTTATTCTGTTGACTTTAAATTGTACGTAAAGTCAACTGTTAATTAACAAAATGCTTGCCTTCAAATGGTTGAAACTTCTAGGAACAAGTTCACAGTCTTCAAGGATTTGAAATCCGAAAAAAAAAAAAAGGAAAATGTATTCACAGATGAAAGTTCACTTTAAAAGTTGAAAGTGCAGTTGTAAAAATTATTAACTGTCTGCTGCGTGTTAGATTGCTCAATACTTAGCTCATTTAGAATATGCTCTTCCTGAGAGGCTATGAGAAGTGGTTGTGGTGCACTCTCAGCTACAGCTGCCGTAATGGTTGTTATGGTCTTCTTGTTGTTCAACGATTCTGATAATGTTTACACACAAGAGCGACCACAAGAGCGTGGTTACTACTGCGCATGAGCAGAATATTATTTGCAGCAAAAACGGAGTTAGACGGTAGTACGCATGAGCAGACCATTATTTGTGGGCAGTTATTTGCAGGTCACATGGTAGGCTCCCAGCCAATGAAAATGGGGGAAAAATTCATCGAATCATAAAACGGTTTCTTTGCAATACTCTATGCATAAATGTGTCCATGGGGTTATATGGAACTCCTGCCCAACATTTTCTTAGCTCGCATTATGTAGCACTCAACTGTTTATTTAAACTTTAAGAGTTACTTTAGGTTATTTGTACTTTCAAGAAGTCAAAGGAAGTCTTCAATGCCACTTTTGCTCTACTCTCAAACCATATTGCTATCCACATGGAAGCTAACTCCATCCCTACAATTTACGATCATAAAACAAATACCTTAACATCCCTCTCCGGAGGCGCTTCTTCATCTTCACTATCCGCCATTTTGTGAGCTCTCAGCTCTATCTTATTTTTGTCTGACTTACTTTTACTGGAGATTAGTTAGAAAAAGTTTGACATAATTATCGCGCCTGTAGAAAACCACTCTTTTACGAGATGACGTCATAGGAACGCAACAATCATGTGGCTCAAATTCACGTGTGTGATTTTATTGGATTTCATTGGTTTTTGAGCATGATTGGAAATGTGGTACCGTATCGAAGTTGTGAACAAGCTTACAACATGAATGATCGTTCTTTCCACGTTTTAGTTACTTATTGTCTTCTGATGGCATTTCCAGGTAGGTAAACTAGTAAATAGAAAATACTACATCGAAAATGTGCGCGTACGAGTGAAGAAAAATCGAATGCAAGTCAGTTCGATCGAAGGTCTTTCGATCGATAAAGTCGATTTCACTTACATGTACGTACGTTTCACTTACATGTACGTACTAACCTTACAAATCACTGCATAACCATTAGTGTATGGCTAAGCTTGTGGAAATGTAGCAATGTGAGCCCCCTTTACAAGAAGGATGGTCCTACTGACAAGTTCAACTATTGTGCCGAGTGCCTGCGTTAACATGTTTCTCTAAAATCTTTGAAAGAGTTTTGCATGACTAAATGTTTAACTTTGCAAAGTTAATACTAAGTGATAGTCTGCCTGGCTTTCTGAAAGACCACTCCTGTGCAACTGCTCTCCTTAAAATGGGTAAAGATTTCAGAGCTTTTTTGGATAATAAGGATCATTTTGATACAATGTATATATGAAGTTCATATATTTTGAACTGCGGTATTAGATACGTGTGATGCATGATCCTCGCAGTAGAGAGCGCTATTTATGCAACAGCGAAAATCAGACCTGAAAAAAAAAATCAGGCCTGTACGGGATTCGAACCACTGACCTCTACTGCGAGGATCATGCATCACACGTATCTAATACTGCAGTTCAAAATATATGAACTTGATATATACATTGTATCTGATTTATCATCACGGGTTTATTACGAATCATCTTGACGGCCTGCAACGAGTTGGCTTGTTAGCTCAATTGGTAGAGCGCTGCACTAGTATCGCAGAGGTCAGTGGTTCGAATCCCGTACAGGCCTGATTTTTGTTTTTTCAGGTCTGATTTTTGCTGTTGCATAAATAGCGCTCTCTACTGCGAGGATCATGCATCACTTGTATCTAATACCGCAGTTCAAAATATATGAACCTCATATATACATTGTATCTGATTTATCATCACGGGTTTATTACGAATCAACTTAACGGCCTGCTCCCAGTTGGCTTATTAGCTCAATTGGTAGAGCGCTGCACTAGTATCGCAGAGGTCAGTGGTTCGAATCCCGTACAGGCCTGATTTTTTTCAGGTCTGATTTTCGCTATTGCAGAGCTTATTATGTATAAAAAAGGTCACACTGCCGAGGCCTACAAAAGTATTTTTGGCATACCTCAGACTAGTACAATAACCATTCTTGGTCTCACGTTTCAGCCGAACTGCAAATTCAGTACTCACCTAAAAGAAAAGTTAGGTAAAGCTAATAAAGGGTTATACGTTATCAGATGCCTCCGCAAGGAAGGATGTAGCCAAGCAGAAGTAGATGTTTTATTTAATTCCATTGTCCTACCTAATATCACTTATGCTCTATCTGTGCATGGGGCCTCTGAGTCAGAGCTAACTATAGCCCAGCAGTTTTTAGATCGTTGTTTTAAACGTAAATACATATCTAAGAAATTAGTGATAGGTGACTTACTTAAAACGCAAGATCACAAAATTTGTCGCAAGGTTTCAACTATCCTGAGCCATCCTCTTAGAGCCTACTTCCCTGAGACCAAGATCACGAGGTATAATTTGAGAAATAAATCCCCTGTCATGCCCGCTATTCGCACAAACCGTTTTAAGAATACATTTTTTAATAGAATTGTTTTTAAGTATAATGTAGCTTTGTGAAAGTGTACTTCCTGTATTAGATGTAACATAAGATATGTAATTTTATCTTTTGAACAATAAAGACACACAGCAAGACACACAGCTCAAGGATCAATATTGGGGCCTCTTCTATTCAACCTATTATTTAATCATCTCACTTATTCTGTTGACGATGCTGAGCTACGGCTTTATGCCAATGATACGACACTGTATCTACCACACCTTAACCAAGATGTGTCAGAGTCAAGTCTCAGAGCAAGTTTGATATGCTTCAGTCATGGTTCAAGCGTAATTACTTGAGTATAAAATCGAATCTAAAACCATTGGGTGACAAAGCACCACACTATCAATTGTTTACTGACCATACTAAGCCACCCTTGGAGGTGGTACATGATATGAAATTGCTAGGTCTAACCATAGAGAGCTCCTTATGTTTTAAAGCCCATATTAAATCTGTATGTAATAAGGTTAATGTTGAAGTTAGTGCTCTTCGGAAAGTTCGTAACTTCATACCTTCAGAAGCGATGGTTAATATTTACAAGGCCTTTATTTTGCCACACCTAGAGTACTGTGCTCCAGTCTTAGTTGGGTTATCATCTGGTCTTTCTAATAAACTGGAACTTACTAATCAGTACACTATTAGAACTCTTTTGAACATGGTTAATTCAACCTCCAAGTACTACTTACCTATGTTGGACTAAAGACCCTAAGGCATCATAGATATTTTCATGCTCTCTCCCTTTTTTACAAAATGCTTATACATTAATTATGAGGCCAAATAATATTAAGGAGATTTCTTATTTCATAATTAAGAATATGACCTCAGAGGTTTTTGCAAGCTCTATTGGCCTACCTATAGTGTCAGTGGCATGACCTGAAAGTTTAAAATTTTTCCAACCCAAAGGTACATTCATTCATCAATTCATTCTTGTTATTTATTTTGTAGCTAATTGTAAAGGAGCACTGGAGGAAATAGTTGTTCCTCGTGATACTAAAAATGTGACAGTCACTGGTAAGTACTTGTCTTCAATTTATGATAATAGGAAGTTGTAAAAAGTATCTTGTTTCAAAAATTAATGATTATAATGAATCATGGATACCAACTGAAGAGATTTTAAATATCTTGTTAGTCTGGTAGTTAACCCAGAACTTTCACAACCAAGCTGAGCAGAGAACACTCAAAAGAAAACATCCCATGCTGCATTGCAAAATATTTGAAGGATAATAAACACAATAGCCTCTATTTTGCATGAAAAAAAAAATTGCATATTTGTCCTTTGACATTATCTGTTCCTCGAAGCTCACAGTTTTCACAGTTAAAGTGTTCAGGAATTGCTGATTGCAATTATTTCTCTGCCAACAGTACCTCTTCGTGGGACCATTTCTATCACATGGTTCGTTGGACCTCAACCGATCACAAAAGTTGTTTGGGCAATCAGCAACGCCTCCTATCCCGTGGCAAGGTTGAAAGATGGAGGTTTTGTATGCTACAAACAGGGATTCTTCTCAGAAAGAGAATGCCAGGAACATTTCCAACTGACTGTGAATGCATCAAGTGACCAGCTCATTACTGCAATCATGAGAAACCTGTCAAATCCTTATTTTGAACGGTTTTTGATATCTGTATACCGTGGCCCAGACTCCAACATAGACACGTTATGGATTATAGTCTCTAAGAAAGGTAAGCTGAGTACCTTCTACCCCACTCTTGAATACATAATATGTGCAGTATCTAAAGGGTGTAACAGACGTTAACATATATTTCATTTTGCAGAATTACCACGACAACCTGAACTGGCTCCAAAGGTACCATCTGCTAAGAGTAATGGTACAGTTAAAACCAACATTAGTTGGCCAAGTGAGTTTACCGGTATGTGCCCATTGGAATACTTATTTGTACTTTAAGGCACCTCATTGAAAAACAACTTGCACTGTTTCCAGGACATTTTAAGAAGTACAGTCCACTGCTTTCTTAAAAGGCAAAAGAAATTTTTTATTGACAGATGGAATATGGAAACAAAAGTAGCTTCTGAGAGTCTAAAAATGAGACAGGAGGCAATCTAGTCCTTCCATTAAAACAAGTGCAGACATACAAATGTATCATTTGTGTTTACTTCTTTCAGTAAAGGATGGTTGAAATTAAATACATAAAAATCCCTCTTTGTCATTTATTATTGATAGTTGTACTTTAAAAAAAGAAGAAGAACACAAAAAATTTGAACTCTCGCTTTCATTTTTTTACAGGTTATGGGGTTTTAGTGGCATTCATTGTGGTTCCCATTCTGTATGTGTCTCTCTGGAAAAGACAACTGAAACGTAAACTCAATATGATCATGTTCGATACAGTATGAAAGCAAGTTGAAAAGGGAATCCTGCATTAAATTGCATGCTGTTGTGTCGGTCACATGACCTGAAGGGGTAATGACACATGGAGCAAGGAGCGAGGGATGTCGATTGAATTCGTTTGTTGTTAGTTATCTTATATGTGATTAAAGAGACGTAGTTACGGACAGAATACAACACACGCAAAAACTGATATTGCACAAATCACGTAGCAATGAGTGTGATATCAGTTTTCAAGTGTATTATAATGCATGCTGCCTTGTTGGTTTTACCACGTCATTCCATGGAAAAGTGCCTGATAAAAGTTCTTAAATTTAATGTTTTTTTTAGATGTATTTTTCGTTTCATACTTAACATTTAGGAATTAAAATAGATATTGAGATAGAGAAACTGCATAATTCCCTAGATGTATAAGTAGTATATACGTTAAATATGCGAGGAAAGGATTTGTCAATAGAGATACAAGTTTAATTCCCAACGCTTGTCTTGCAGTGAGAGAGATCTTCTGGCCACTTCACTTTTGAACTCAACCAGGAATTTCATCAATTTTTGTCAACAGACATTTGCATAACTTTTGCACAATACTGTTTATAACGTAACTAAAAGTTCCCTGCAAATCACATCATTTCTGCAAAACAACTGCATTTGATGACTTATTAAGTGACACTTGCCAGAGCTATATATCACTGCATCACTTGACTATAAGAATCTCTTCAGCAAACTTGGCATTTGATGTGTTCTGAAATGACAAATACTTTATCAAAGGGAGCTAGAAAAATTGAGAAATGTAGAATGAATTCATTTATAATTGTAAATATATCAAATCAGACAGATGGAAAATCTGCATTAAAAATCACATTTATCAAATTCTACAAAAAAGAAGTACAACAAACTGAGCTTCCGAGGGTTGGAATATCATAAAGATTCATGAAAGTTTGATTCTTCTTCATATAGCAGACAAAGTCAAATCATCACTGTTGAGACCCATTAACTGTACAAGAAGACCAATTTCTTCCAAGGTTGAAGGACAATGGACCACTGTTATGAAAAATAGTGTTGCGTGACATGCATGACCTTTTAGAAGCTTTGTGAAAGTTCATGGCTTGCTTATTTTAGTAAATTATGTAATTGTTTCTAAAAGTGGTATATTTTGTAATGTTGCTATAATTAGATATTTTTTTAGAAAGTTCTAGAATTTTATCGCGAAGTACATAAGTAGGATAGGTTAAGTGAAGTTTTAACCAAGTTTTCACAAGCGAAGAGAGTTATTTGTGATCAGTCAAGTGTGAAAAGGCAGTGTTTGTTCAATTTGGTGGTGGCTGTGTGTATTTCTCAAGTTTATTGAAGTTGGCGGAGGCCATGTGCATTGTACAAGTTGTTTGAATTTGGAGGAGGCCATGTAAGTTTACTGAGTTGCGTGTTAGTGTAGAGTTTATCAAGTGGAAAGTACATTAATTTTGGAATAAACTTTCTTGTTGCTGTTCCGACATGCCTGCGTTCTGTTTAGACCGCAAATCACCTGTCACTCAACCGTCAAACTCTTAACAGCCACTGAAAGATATAATCAAATTAATGGTTCTTATTTTATTTCATAACAATTTACCAATAGTAAGTTTGGTAAGGACCTGTTTGCACTATGCAAAAGTTTGTTTTCAATTGCTAAAAAGTCTGTCGATGCAAAACCATTTTCAGCGTGAATGATTTGTCTGACCCACCAAAATTTTTGTGAGTGCCACCAAACTTTGAAGATGCCATCTGCTAGATTTGGAGGCCTTCAAATTTTTGTTGGGTGAGAAAATATATTGTTCCTTGACAGATACCCTTCAATTGGTCATCATATTTTGTGATTGATACCAGGGAAAATGGTATTGTGTACATGACCCCATTACTGCCATTTAGAGATGGATCCACCAGGTGAAAGGTCTGACAGGCACAGCGATCCTGCACCATTTGTTCAAAACTCTTACTTTGCTGCACCTCGACAATAATTATTATAACATCAATTGTCATGGAACTCTGTGAATGCTACTTAGGAAGAGCCACTGTCACGGTTACTGCACTACTGCCACCTTCAGCAATTTAGTCAACCACAAGTTGATTTGACATTTGTGGTTACTCAAATAATTCACATGTCTCAAGCACAAATGCTATTATGAAAACAAAAAACTTGTTGTCACAAAATTTTCAATTTTATCCCAAATACCAAACCAATTTTTCGGTGTGGTGCAAGCAGGGTCTAACTCCCTGTATCATTATTAGCTTATGGCACTTTGTGTCAAGATTCAAGTTTTAAAAACTCTGTAAAGTACAAGTAAGTTCAGAGCCACATTAATTTTTCAATTATGTCAATAAACTCTGAATGTACTAGCCTATAAGGATATTTGCTTGAAAAAAATGAGTAAAGAACTGAACAAATGTTGAAGCACTGATCAACCAAATAATTCAGCCATATTAAAGGCAAGCAAGGCTCCAAAAGTACAGCATAGTGACCCCTGCTAGTGTCATGATAAAGTCAGGCCCTACAATGGCAAATGTGGGGGAGGGGGGTAAGGGGGATGGTGTTCTGAGGGAAGGGACTGCTATTAGAATTCTACAAAAGTAAAAGAGATGAACCATTATCCTGAGGAGCTACTTTTAGAATTGACTGCAGTGACTTACCAACTTTCTGTATGCTTCCTTCATTAGATTCAATAATTCTTTCAATGTCTCAGTTTTTATCACTTTTATTCCTGTTGAAATCAGTTATTCATATAGCATTATCTGATTATCTTGATTTTAAAAATAAGCACATTTATAGTAATTACTTGTTGTATGTTCCATGAAAGAAATTAGAAATAAAATTAATGCAATTGTTGTGATTTATTTTTGTCTTGGTCCACAACAAGTAATGCCCAAATTTTGTTCCAAACCTGATAATTACGTCATTACTCTTATCACCAAAAGCAAAGGGAAGAGAAAATTCAGTTGAAGGAAAAAAAAAAGAACTTGAAGATTTTCAGGTGACAAGTCAAAACTCTTCCATTCTCTTTTTCTATCTCAAGATACATGTGCAGTGAGTCTACAAATACAATTATTGCCAATATTTTAATTCAACTATGGCCTTGATTTACATACAAGTACTGTTAACTTCTTAATTCCTTAACACCTACAAGTGACTACGACAGAATTTCCCTAAACAACATCTGTACAGTATCAAGCAGGAAAATAAAAGAATAAAATGAATTAGTATATACTAAAACAGTGGATAGTGTTGAAGGGGCACTCTGATTGGTTAGTCAAACTCCAAATGTCCTTTGCTATTTACCTCCAAGCAACTCAGGAAAAAATGGCACTTCGGTTTGCATCCGTGACAAGTGAAGAAAATTCACTCAAATTAACGAGGGTGGTGTATATTATCCCACTGTTTTAGTATTGCGCAGGTAACAGGCAAGAACTGACACCCAACGCAGATAACAATTCTTGCCCGTTAGCAGGACAATACAACATTCTTTTTAACGAATATTCATAATCATTTACATTCTCATTATTTCGCAGTTCACGTCTTTATCACTCATCGCTTGCTTATCATTCATTTTACTCGTCGAAGACTGCAGTTCGGGCAGTCGAAAGCTCGTAGTTTTTAATCAGTCATTTTTTCCAGAGATCACTTTTAAATTTCAACTATCCTGGCTGCGGCCCTTCAAAATTTTCAGCCAAACTACAGTTGCATGGTTGCTCTTCTTTAACCCTACTTTGGTTCAGAAGCTATCTAACAGACCGCCGTCAATGTGTAAACCTCACAAGCGCCGTATCTGACACTGAAGTATTGCGTTCTGGTGTTCCGCAGGGCTCAATTTTAGGCCCTGTCCTCCTCCTTATTTTTGTTAACGACCTCCCTCTATCATGGAAGAAGAGAAATGGCTTATTTGCTGATGATGCTACTTTTCACGCTAGTGCCACAACTCTGACCGATGTTCAGGTACAACTTCAACAGGATCTCTCTAACACGGCGACATGGACTAAAGATCATGGTATGATAGCTCACCCGGAAAAGACAAAATACATGATTATTGGTACTCGACAGAAACTGTCCCGCTGTGAAGAATGTGCTCTGTCCTTGTGGCTGGATGGTCGGCAACTGGAGCAAACTCACGAGGAACGTCATTTGGGCCT